GAAAGTCACGTTCTGCACGTTACAGGCTGGCTGCTGGACAGACCGAAACTGGGTCGCTCGCAAATCATTCTTCGAGAAACGGGACACAGTCAGAAATAATCTGGAAAGTTTCGGATTGTTTATGAAGCGAGGTGTGGCAGTCGTGGTGGAGATGAGGGGAAAGAAACCACTTGGAAAACCAAGGCGTAGATGGGAGAATAATACTAAAGTGTGTCATAGATTTTGAGACCTGATGGTAAATAACGCAATTGAGAGGCGCGTGCTTAGAAATCTTGGCACTGATTTTAAATTGATCGCTTATTTAAAGACCGATGAAGTTATGTAGCTTTGTTTATGGACGCTGAATCAGCGGTGGTTTGAATGAGCAGTTTATGACCCGCCTTAAAACAGGGTTTTCGTAATTTAATCTAACCGTTTTCTCGAAAACACTTTATCGCTATAATACGTCCACGAATGTAGTATTTAGCAACTCATTTTGGTTTTTGCAAGAACCACGATTATTTTCTCTGTATTTAAAGACGTAAATACAGAAATTAATATTAAAGAAACTGGATTTACTTGGACGCAATTGCACAAACCACGACTACCATCAGCGGCTCGGTGTGTACGAAACAAGTGACTTTCACGACACGTAACACCGAGCAAATTGCCGTAAAGTATGAGAAATGTGGCTTCCGAAACTCTGTTAAGGGAAAGTAATACGTAAGAGCTAATTTATAACACACGCACAGCGAATGCGAAGTGCAGCGGTAATTTTCCTTGATTCACGGCGACTGTAAACAAGAATGTGGTGCTCGTACGTGCTGTTTCTACTCGAACGTTTAATGGCTGTGTAGTTCAGTCAAATGATAATGACGTAGGGCGTTTACGATTTAATGTATGTAGTGCGTAGCTACTGATGGTGGATGGTTTCTTTTGGCCGAAACACGTTTGCGAAATAAATAAATAAAATTGCGAGCTACGGCTTTAAAATTTGTTGGTTTGTTCAACTTTTGCACTTTGTTCTAGGCGGTGTGAAGGGTTTTAAGATGGATTAATCTGGCTTCAGACAGGAAGCAGTGGTGAACTCTCGTGAACACGATAACGGACTTTGTTCAGCTACGCGACTGCTAGCTTCTCAGGGAGCACGGTGCTGAGAACTACTAATTTACCTCGTTTCATAAAGAATGTAAAAATATCCAGGGCTTTAGAACAAAGCGGTTCACACAGTTGCAGTCGCCCAGGGACGGTCAGCGTCCGCCCACTACGCCTTCTTCGTCGTCTTAAGGGTGCGCTTGAGAGTGCAGGGGGGAAACAAAGTTTCGCTGCCGAAGCAAATTCCCCCTGAAGATGGCTGTCTTCTGGGTCGTAGCGTCGTACCGTCTGACGAGTTCCTGCCGCCCTAGACCTGTGTTACTGATTTTTTCTTTTATGTGCCAAAGGGGCCAAAGTCAGGCCTAGAAGTAAATGTAGGCAAAACCAAATACATGGGCGTAATGCGGCAGAACATAATTATAAGTAACACATCATTTGAAAGTGTTTCAAAATTTAAGTAAAAAACAGAAATGAGGTCCACGATGAGATTAAGAGTAGAATACACATGGGAAATGCTTGTTTTTATTCAATTCAAAAACTGCTATCATCTCTTTTACTATCCAAAACACTGAAGGTAAGAATATACAAAACAATAATTTTGCCTGTTGTCTTGTATGGTTTTGAAACATGGTCTCTTACCTTAACGAAGAACATAGATTACAAGTGTTTGAAAATAAAGGTGCTGAGGGATGAAAAAACTGGGGAATTTAGAATGTTGCATAACGAGAAGCTGCGAGAATTGTACGGGTCATAGTGACGATAATGAAATCTAGGAGGCTCCGATGGGCTAGACGTGTAGCACGCATTGGGGGGGGGGTAAGGGGTGCACACAAGATTTTGGTAGGGAATCCTTCTGGAAAACAACCACTGGTCAGACCAAGAAGGAGATAGGATAATAATGGATCTTAGGGAGCTAGGCTGTGAGGATGGTAAATGGATGGGCCTGGCTCAGGGTCGTGTTTGTCGGTGTTGGTCCATAGGGTTCTGCTACCAGGGAGTAAGTTAGTTAGGGGTCAAAGTCATGTACATTTATATCATTGTTTATACACCTAATAAATTAACGTAAATTGGAATCTCGTCTTTCCTCGGCTAATTTAAAATGGGCTTAACATTCTGTTTTCCATTGTGGGCTAAGAACAAGAAATATCTTTCCAGACTGAGATAGTTTACAAGTCCTTACTTAAATCCTTGCTTCTCAACTGCTGCTGCAAGTACGGAATTCTATGTGTTCGTTAGGCGCCTGTGTTAAAAGCTGTCAAATCTGTTGCACCTTTATGCAGGGGGACGCCTCTCCCCCAGGGCGTCGTTCGCGCTGCTGCAGCTGCTATCTTATCTAAAACCTTGCTTAGCGCCTAAACCACCTCCCCAAGTTTTCTTTTATAGCCGAGGTCCACGAAATATGCTGAGCACAGATGTGCCTGCCGGGTTGCATATCTCTCTGTGCTGAGAAAGAACGGGGTATAAAAACACAAGACGCTTTCTTTACGCGTGGATGAGCTGTTACTGGAGTTTCGCTTGGGATTTTTACATCATTTCCCCGGGCTCTGTGTTGCGGATGTTGTAACTTGTGGGCTTGTCCCGTCCGTATCTGCATGTGCAAGGAACTGAACTGGTCGCCAGTATATTTTATCGATATATCGAACAGGGCATGAGTTCGAACCCGGTGATGTGCCTGGTTTTGCTGGTAAGCCGCACGTTCTGTGCAGCAGTGGACTACAGGCCGTTGATCGAATGCAGCGTTCAATTATGGATCATACAATGTCCATCCAATAATAAATAATAGAAAGAAACTGCGTCCCGAATAGTCGGTTAGGTTAAAGACCTCGGGGTGTGTGTGGGAGGAAGAATGATAATTTGAGAGAAACGGGGTTTGGTAGGGTGAACTGGGAGCGTCTGGCGAGCTCTTGCGTATTCCATAAAAGACCGGCTGTGCGACTGTCAGCTTGTCAAGGACTTTTTCTTTGGGCGGCCGCCGTCAGGCGAGAGTGATTTGTCGTGCCTTGTTCATTGCGCGTGCAGCTCAGAACCGTGGGATCAGTCTCATATCCGCTGTCGGCCGAAGTCAGTGTCCTCCTCCTTCGCCATCCATCCTCCTCCAAGACGTGTCTTCAGCCCTGGGAATGCGATGGGCGCTTGCTACGGATCA